TTTTAATCTGTCACAGGGAGACATTTAGACAAACACACTTGGTGGGAGATGGAGAAGGACCCCAGATCCAGAGGTCTCCACCCATACCCCTCCAGCAGTCATCACCGATTCAGGAGGGGTCCTTGATCTGTCTAACCATGGCTACTTTCTGATTCATTAATGTATACCTGACTAACACAAGCCTTATGCAAGCCAACCCATCTCAAACAGGAATACTGATCAGGACTCACACTGATCGGCAGCTCCCCTCAGGAGGGTCCTAAGGGCACCAGACCACGGAGCCATCCTGCTGTCCTCAGGCCGGGTCCAATCTGAGGAGCAGAGGGCAGAGAAGGTGGCAACTAATGGAGATACGCCCCTCTTGGCATCTCTCACACTGAGACTTTCATGCAATCCTCATGCATTGCACTCAGGGAAGGAACTCAGATCCAGAGGCAAGTCACAGTCTTCACTCAGACACCTCCAGCAGTCATCATCGATTCACTATGGGTCTTCAATCTGTCCAACCATTGCTACTTTCTAAGTTATTAATTCATTAATTGATAAATGATAAGCCTTTGATTCACTAAGTCTGAAATGCCTTGTTGTTTTCATCTGTACGTGTAATCATTCCAACATGGACACCTCTGTGTCATAGGCATAATCAATGCAAGGCTTCACGTCCCTCCTGTTATCTATGGGAGGTACAGAACGTCACATTTGTGCCGATGCTGTACACTTCCTGTGAATCAGTAAATGGTCTTAAGCCTGCTACCCATCTGAAGCAGGAACGCTAGTCATGACTCACACAGGTCTGCAGCTCCTCCTCAGAAGGGCGCTAACAGCACCTGACCATGGGCCAGCCCTCTTGTCCAAAGGCAATGTCCACTCTGAGAAGAGAGCAGAGATGTTGACAACAAATGGGGTGTGCTCACTGTTCATTCTTGATTTGTGCCAATTCATTCATTTGAACTTGCCATTGACCCAGAACACTGTCTATAATTAGGTCAACACCACCGTTAGTCAAAAGGAGACATGCACGCACCAGTTATTTCTCTTTGAACTGCACTAGGATCTGTATATGTTGATATGTTTCCTGCTTTACCACAAAGTTTCAGAACTGTACAATGTGGATCACATGAACACAAGGTTGTGATTCCTCTTTGGGGCCCCGCCTTTCACTTGTCCCTTGCTCGGTGTTATACTGCACAGGGAAGTAGGACATTCGCTGTTCTTCTCTGGAGAACATTACAACATTACAGCACTTGATCATTGGCTGTAGATGTCATTCCTGTCCAGAGAAGGACAAGGATGGAGACAGTTATATTCCTTGATAGATGTCTGTATATTTACTGTGTTCATGGTTTTAATTACTCACCCATGTACAGGACCAGTGGGAATGCGAGACCATCTTCATCATAATATATCTGTACACTAATTCTTTCTTTGGGTCATTCCAAAAAGTGAGCCTTTAACTTTCCTGGTATCAGTCTATGGGGGCACTTTAAACAGAGGTGTAGACTACACCCACTTTTTTATTGGACCTCAGAGGTTCACACACAGAACACTCATCCTGTGACTCAGGATCACACCCCTTTCTCTTTATTCTTGTGTGTATTTGTTAATCGATCAATTGATTACCTTACTGATATAAGTTTTAAAACTAGGTGTCACAAAAACCTGAGAGGCAGGGCGATGAGTGTCGTGCATGTCTGATGGATCACTCGGCGTACCCATGTGTTTTTTTCCATGAACTTTCATCACAGGGGGATTCATAAATCTCATTAATTCCACCTTAATTGTTGTCCACGGTTGGCCTTTGGGATCATGTTTCACATTTTTAAGGACACAGTGACCACCTCATGGCAAAACTCTCAGAAGGATGTGAGCCTTCCTCACAGTGGTCCTCTGCCCTCAGGCTAGAGGGAACACGGAGCTCGCTCCATGGAGGAGCGCACAAATGACGGGGCGTGTGTCCTTCTTGAGGACAATGAGACAAAGAACATGAGTAAGAGGCTGAGGTGGTCCCTAAGGGGTCTTTACTGTCCTCCTTTGTGCCGACAGTCAGGTATTGACTGCTTCATAATATAAACATGGATACAAACCCAGAAACATGTTTGGGTGGGTTGGATGCACACCTACAAAACTGGATGCTGACTACCCATGTCACTGCCTAGTGGTCCTTAGGAAAAGAAGTGACATCGTCAGTCCGCTGATGGCTTGTCGTGTTTCAATGTGTTGTTTATATTCACGCTATTCCGTGCCTCACCACAGTCATTCATGGCTGGACAAGGTTTCATGCACTTATTTATTGTTTGACACACCTAGTTATTTGTTGTTCATCAACGAATTAATCTGCATAGGTGAGAGCATGGAACAGAACAAGGGCATCCCTCGGGACAGGACCTTGCTGGGTCTGGCTAAGATGTCCAGACATGGCACCTGTTAACCGTGACTCAGGTGCCACCAGCTGCCCTTGATGGACGAAGGTTGGGCCTTCCTTCATCCTCACCTAAACTGGTTTATTGATGACTCTGTGATTTTGCCAATAATAATTAAATGCGTGTGAATCACAAACACTCAAAGACCACATAAGATCCATCTGTGTGCCCACCACCTGTCTTGGGAACCATTTGCCTGATGGATCAGGCCTCTGATTGATCCCCTTGTCACAAAAACCAGTAGATGTGCTTCACTCCAGCCCAGAGTGGACCGAGTGCCTCAGCACAGAGAGGCAGCCTGGGCACCCAGAGTGTGGTCGGTGCTGGGGGTAGTTCAGCAGTGCACGTGCTGAGCAACTGACCCCAGATGGAGGTGCTCCCTCATCGAGCCCTCTAGGTGCATATGAATTTGAGGTAATACCTATTAAGTTTTCCCTCAAGAAAATGAAGAATATCAAAATTTCCACTGATCCATAGACAATTTGAATTGTCTAAATCATCCTCTTTCAAAGAAATCAGACACTTTTTTAATAGACTATTTTTAATTTTTAAGAATAAAAAATTCTTTTTAATAAAATTTGGTATTTTCTTTTTTTAATATTTATTTATTTTTTTAGTGGTAGTTGGACATAATATCTTTATTTTATTTATTTATGTGTTGCTGAGGATCAAACCCAGGGCCTCACATGTGCTAGGCGAGCGCTCTACCACTGAGCCAYAGTCCCAGCCCAAAATTTGGTATTTTCAATATATTTTATAGTATTTTTATTGCCTCACCACAGTTACGGAGTAGACACTTCTTATCTTCGCTTATTTACATTTCTCCAAAGATTGTTACCTTGTTGTCATTTATGACAGTAGAGCCCAACTATAGAAAGAACAATCCAAGAAAATGGTCCCTTTACATTGCTAGAATCTGTACATAAGATCACTCCAACCCAAATGGATATACTTTGTTTTGTTATTAACAGGTCTCGCTGAATGGAGCACGCAGTAGTCACTGCATCCAACTCATACCCCAGGGTCATCCTCATGACCCTGTCTTGGGTCAATTTCTCTACATTCTCATCTACTTTTGTTAAGCAATTAATTTATAATTCTCTAGTAATCATAAAATAAATAGCTACTGATCATAAAAACCGCACAGGAGATCCTTAATATTTTTCTAGACAATCACATTCATCGCCTACTCTTCCTTCATCATTCATCCTCACTGTGACAAGAAAAAAAAAAAAAAAAGATCAATGGATCAACGCCATGTTCCATTTCAACGCCATATTTATCACAGGGCCACGGCTGCCCTCTCTGATCAGCCTTACTTTCTGGGATAGCACACTCGATATCCCGGACAAAACACCGGACAATGATGAGCACACCGGCCATTATCCACACTGGTCTCCACGGTCCGACACACAGAGGTGACCGCACAGCCTCGTCCTGCCCACCTGGCTCTGCCCCTCCTGAGAAGGACAGGGTCGATGACTAAGACTGATCTGCACAATCCCCCTTTTGTTTAGTGAGCAATTAAGTTTATATGACTTTGGGTTCATATTTGTTACTTTTCCATAAGAAAATGAGAAATAGGTTTCMACTTACATTCACAGTCTTAGAAGGGTATTAAGAGTAGGCACTCTCCACCCTCCACGCCCTCTCTCATTATACTGTGCACGCGATTCTGCCATGGGGCCACCAATTACACGAGGATCAAAATCCACGAAAATAATTCTTTCATACTTCTAAAATCTGTCTCACGTGAGAGTATCGGTCTAGTCAGGGTTTCTTTTTCCATTTTTAATCGACAAATAATTATATATATTTCCAGGATACAATGCGCTGTTTTGACATATGTTTTCACTGTGGAATGGTTAAATCAAGCTAATGAAACACATCTATCAATTCATAGTCTTGTCATTTTTGTACATATTTGTATATTTTTGTAAATATTCTCATATTTAAAAATCTAGCCTTTGAGCCATTTTGAGACAGTGCTACCCATTGTCAGCAACCACTCTCACCAGGCTGGGTGAGGCTCCCCTAAACCTCTGCCTTTCTGAATGATGCTGGGTGTACTTTGATCTGCCCCTTTCTCCCACCTCACCCCAGCCTCCTCAGGCAGCTACTAGTCTGTGTCTGACTTCGMATCGCATCACGTAGGACTCGCCTGCCACCCCTTGCCATCAATGGTCCACGTGCCCCATGCATTTCATTCCCATCTACAATTCTTCATTGATTAATCCATCAATATCACTTTCTAAAACTCCTATGATTTTTAAACTCCAAGGGACAAAGAGAAAACAAGAAGGAAAGACCTGACACCCACATGTAGCTACAAATTGACTGTCAACATGGGCATATCAAGACACGGCCCTCAGTGTTTCACGGATGTATTAAATATGATGATTCAAGTGTCCACAGAAATGTCTCCAGAATCCATGGCCGCACTTCAATCATCCTGATCGCCAGAAGAATGATTCATCAACACAACGTTTCATGTTAATCCCCACCCCCTTTTTTTTTTTTTGGACAACAATTGTTCTTTTTACTTTAAATGTACTTCTTTTATTAACTTTGAATGTTCCAAACAAAATAAACAGACTTCCCAAAGATGGTAACTGACGACCACATGTTGATCTTTATGYTCCCGCACCCAGGGTCTGCCACAGAGGTCACAGTCGGGGCCAGGTGCTTTGATCAGTCGGGGTGTGTCCACTCTAGAGAGAAAGAGCAGATGACAACATGACTGAGATGCTCCCTCCACTGATCTCACACCCACAAGTCATTATTCAGTCACTTAGGCGATACCTGATTTGGCTTGATATACATTTCACATTCCATTAAGAAAAAACAATGTGAAACTTCCATCAGTGCAGAACTAGAACACCGGCATTATCCACRTTATCTACGCCATCGGAAGCCAGAACCATTTTTCCTTACCAGATTGTTATCACTATTAATTAGTATTTTCTCTCACCTCACCTACTCCTGATAATTAGACAATGCTACAGTGTCTTCATTTTTACTTATTTAAATTGTGCATTGATTTTTTTTTCATTTTTAAAATATTCTGACTGAAAATTCTATACATTGAAACTGTGAAACATATTTTAATTTTATACTGATTCTCTTATTGACCCATTTATTGCAAAAGTATCAAAAGCCACCAAAAAAGAAGATCCTTATGAAATCCTAAATCCGTCTATAGAGTCATTACCTCTACAGTTTTTTTAATGACACAGGGTTTTACTAAGTTGAGCAGGCTGGCCTTGAAACCCTGGATGCAAATGATCTTCGCCCTCAGCCTCCCAAGTACCTGGGGCTACAGGTGCTTGTCACCATGTCTAGCTCCTTTCTATGTCCTTAATGATTCATTTATCCATAATCTAATAACAATAAAGTAAACATGTGTGACTGAAAAATATACACAATTCCAAAAACCCTTGAAGATCCTTAAACATCCTCAATATCTGTTTATAGAATCATTCACTTCATTTTATATTCTCCTTAATCATTCTCGAAGTTGTAAATATCAACAACTAACATGTTTCTTTATCATTGGGTTATAGATAGCTTTTTCTTTAATTATTTTGGTATTTCTTAATTATTACAGTGAACGCCGTGAGCAAACCACCAAAATATGGTGAGAACATCACCCATGACTCACCTTGCTGCCCAGGCTCCTACCCAGATAGGCAACCTTTGCACCCACGATGGAGGCAGAATGCTCAGCAMAGCCCAGGGTCTCCTTCAGGGAAACGAAAAGCAGAACAAACCACAGAAGCAAAACTGACACCTTATCTCTACTGGTCCGTGCAGGTCACCTGTCAATCATTAATGATGTAGGTATTTAATATTTGAAATTAATGTGTTAATTTTTCTTTTAGAAAAGCCAACACTATCAATCTTGACACAAATAAAACAAGAACATTAAAATACATACGTATGTGCACACGTATATGGGTGCATATATTTGTGTATGTGTATTTTTCTACGTCTTCCTTATCYCATAGGATAACACCCTTTAACTATTCATCTCTTTACAGATCTCACTGTTTTCAACGTACATTATTCCTTTCTCTCATCTCATGTGATTTATATCAGACAACATTTCGCTCATTCATATTTATTCATTCCTGTTTGCCTATTCTCTCACTGATCTACCTGTAATGAGACCCAAGTCCATGAACACAAAACCAAAACCATGGTTCTTTTGTATTCCCCACGTTTGCCAACAGGGCCGAGTCAGCAGTGGCCAGAGGCAACCCTGCTCTGGCTTCAGTCCCCAGTGCAGCGGTCAYCCCTGGCTTATGTGCCACAGTCATCACCACTGGTCCTGGCTGGGCCTGTCTTCATTCTCATATACACCTCTTAATGACTGAATTCATTAATTCTCTAACAATAATAAAAGCACAGAAAAATAACGGGCTGGAGCCTTGATTAACGCTATAGCTTTCTGTAGACTAACTTCCTACACCTACAGGTACTTTTGCTATTAATGCTTCTACATGGATTTGTTCATATACTACATCATGTAAATTTTTATTGCCACATACATATCACAAATATGTATATCATCGTGTCATGGACGGCTTTCAAAGAAGACATTTCACACCTTTTAAATTCAGAGGGAACACCTCAACAGCAGCCTGGGCTAGCAGGATGAGCCTGGGGCTAGGACTCACACTGTCATCATGYGCCCACGTGCACATCCATCCTGAGGAGCACAAAGCAAAAATGTGACTGACTGCCGAGCCAGGGCCGCCTGGCCAGTCTTTCCAGCTCAGGCCCTTAGGTGCACGTTCATTTATACAATGGGAAAAGACTTCACATATTTGCTTATCTTAGCTGATTAATTCTTCATTGCCCTATTTGTACTAATCATAATGATTATTACTTGTACAGTTTATATGATCATTAGCTAAAGTACCATTCTTAAACGATGCCTTTCTTAATAGACTTGAGCGTTTCTAATTTACTTGTATTAATGTTCTCTCTTCCTTCCACACGCTTTTCATAATTGGATGATACTTTACCTATTTATTTATTTACATTCATTTGTTGATACTTTTAATATAGCCAACTATAACGCTGGAATTAAAATCCATGAACGCAAAGATCAAGTACACAATACTCGCATCTTACAATCTCTCTGCAGGATCACTTCCTACTGAGGTAGCATGCTAGACTGCCTTTGTTTGGAACTTCCAGTTCCTCACCTGGTGTTTATCAGCCATGCATCATGAATGGTGCTGGCCAAGGATCATTAGGGTCCAGGTGGAGCACCACACAGTATTTCATATGAATACATAACTATCATCAGAGACAATTGGCTTTCTTTGACAATATTAAACACATTATATTAATACATGGAATGCCTTCTTAAAAAACATTCAAAAAGCTATTTTCCTAAAAAAAAATTCAAAAAACTATTATCACTACTCACATTTCTATCAGTTCCCCAATAAGACAGGCAACTTCAGAAATCCATCACTCAAATAGAGTGCATCTGTTCAAGAAAGAAGAGAAAAGCAGGGATCAAACACTGACATGCTTTTTACACTGATCCTTCAGTCTGCATTTCAGAGAGATATACATATGGGTTTTGATTTGGAGTAACACATTTCATGTTTCCTTAGACCCTAAAAAAACTAGTTAACTAATCTTCAGAAATTCAGAATAAGAAGAGTAGCTCTTTGTTTTATCATCTGTATCAGCTTTAGATACAGGAGAAATACTAAAAGAATGTACAATTAATATATTTACATTTTCCATAAAAATTGGTGGCACATTTGACATGTCCACAGACTATAAAAATGCTATCATGCTTCAGTTATTCATATATATTTATTTATACTTAATTATTGATATTTTCATTGGAACTTTACAGCATCCATTCTAGAAAAAGTCTCCATCCCATACCTTTCCTCCCAATTGGACCTCTGTGATTCATATTTATCAATAGTGCCACATGGATTTCCAMACTGGAGAACACCTTGCCCACTTCTTTCCTTACTTTTATTTTCTGATAAAATTACAAAAAATAGGAGTTCAAGAACACAGAGACCAAGGGCAACATCCTTGACTCTTGCCAACATCAACCCCTAAGATAACAGAGTAAACCCTAGATGTCTGATGGTGTTGGACCTCAGACTTCCAAACCTACAGTCATCATTTTTGATATATGTGCTACCAGTGGTCTCCAGGGATCTAAGACATGCCCTCTTTCCCTCCTGTGTTATCAATGTTACTTGTTGATGAATTTCTAATGTCACGCATAGCAACTAGATAACCTGGATTCTCAAGCATCTGAGATCAAGATCCTGAAGAACGCAGCATGGCCTTCTACAGGGTCTTGAGGCTCATGGCCTACATCTCTTCCCCGACGCCATGTTGATTTTGCAAACTGTTCATCGATCGATGTGATCATGGCCAGGCCATATTTATCCTTTAGCCATTGTTGTTTTCATAGATGTTTAATGCTTTTTCTAGGACAGTGAATGTCCTGGAGAAACAACCTCAGTCAAGATAAGAGCTCTTGACTCTACTCACCTTTCTCACAATACTCCTAACACACAYAGGGAACTATACATCACAGGGCCAGAGAAGAATGCTTCCATCATCTGAGAGYGTCCATTCTGAGAGTACAGAGCACAAGGGGTTAGAAAAAGATTGAACTTCTGTCCCTTGATCCTTCCCTTTCTCCTTCCATTTCATAATTCATTCAGTAGGAGTTAAATCACAGTTTCGCTCAAGAAACTAACAACATTGAATGTGGCCTTGACCCTAGCAAGGATTCAGAACCATTATTTTTTCTGCACATGCCATTCTCGTCCAAGGTTCTAAAAAATCACTACTATTTATGTCTGAATAGACTTCCATGTTTTTCAAACATTTTCAAGCTACTTCTGGCCTTGACATATACTTTCATAACCAGACAATGCCTCCCTCACTTTATCTTCATTTTTTATATATTGTATATATTGATGTAAAGATTTTACCTTGTTCCAATTATAAAAATAGAATGAAAATTCATGAACCATAGGACAAAGAACAATATCCTAGATAATACCTAATATCTATCCCTAGGATTACAAGCTAGATGTCTTCTGGTGTGGACCTCAGAGTTTCAGAGACAGTCATCATCCTTGACTCATACGCCACCAGTAGTTATCACTGGTCCCAGATTGGCGCTCTTCCCCTCCCTTAATTTCTACCATTGTTTATTGACTTATCCATCCTTTCACTGATAATATTTATAACAATGGTCCAAAGGCCCTAGGGTAACTTCTTGACGTGTACTTTACAGCTCTCTACAGGAGCTTTCCCTACTTTGAGTATGACTCGTACTCGCTCAAAATATTATAGCCATTATTGAGTAGTCAACATAATGATTCACGGCCATGACATGGTCATTGTTTGGCCACGGTGACCCTTCTGAGATGACATGTGCTGCTTTTACCACTACAGTGAACCTCCTTGTAATACCACACAACCCAGGGCAAGAAGTTCCACTCAACTCACATTAATCTCTATACTGTGAACGTAAGCAGGATCCACCGACCTTGTGGCCAGAGAAGAATGCTGTCGACATCTCGGGAGCACCCACTGTGAGAGTACAGAGCACAGCAGATTTTAAAGACATTGGAATTCTGTCCATTTGTTCTTCCATTACTTCTTCATGAACCATGCATTAAATCATCACACTTTCTTCTTCATAAGACACTGAACAGAATTCTGTTCCCCACACTTTTTTTTTTTAAACTGGACACAGCATCCATTCCAGAAAAAAAACATAGCTCATCTGTTTCCTCCCAGGTAGACTTCTGGTTTTAAGAATCAATGGTCTGAGGAAGCAGAGTACACGGTTTTCCCACTGGAGAAAGCCTTGTCCACTTCTTTCCTTATTTATATTTTTGATACAATTATAACAAATAGAACTAATGTTCAAGAACAACATCCTTAACTCTTGATAATATCTATCCCTAGGGTAACAAAGAATACACTAGCTACCTTATGGTTTTGGACCTCAGACTTCCAGACCTATCATCACGATCCTTGACTCATACATCACAGTGGTCATCATTAGTCCAAGACCAACCCTGCTCTTCAATAGTATCTTCAGTTGCTTATTGTCGAATTGTCACTCAAGCCACCTCATAATTATGACTCTCAAGTATCTGAGATCAAGAACCTTAAAGATGACCTGGGTTGTAGCTCAGTGGTAGAGCGCTCATGTGGTACATGTGAGGCACTGGGTTCGATCCTCTGCACCACATAAAAATAAATAAATAAATAACATAAAGGCGTTGTGCCCATCTACAACTAAAAAAAAAAAAAAAACTTTTTTAAAAAAGTAACCTTAAAGACACAGCATAGCTATCTGCAAGATCTTTAAGATCATGGCTTCATCTCTTCCCTGATGCCATGTTGATTTTACCAACTGTGATCAACCAATGTGATCATGGCCAGGCCATATTTATCATTCAGCCATTGTTGTTTTCATAGATTATGTATAATGCTTTTCTAGGACAGTGAATGGCCTGGAGAAACCACCCCAGCCAACATAAAAGCTCTTGACTCTACTCACCTGTTCCTAACACTCACAAGGAACTATACATCACAGGGCCAGAGAAGAATGATTCCATCATCTGAAGAGTGTCCATTCTAAGGGTACAGAGCACAAAGGGTTAGGAAAAGATTGACCTTCTGTCCCTTGATCCTTGCCTTTCTCCTTCCATTTCATAATTCATTCAGCAGGAGTTTAAATCACAGTTTTGCTCAAGAAACCAAGAATATGGAACCTGGCCAATTCATGCCCAAGACACTTTTGCCCTTCTGAAATTATAACTGCTTTTATGGATTCAATGAGCCTCCCGAAACACCACCCAACCCACAAAAGGAAACCTCACTCCACTTACATTGGTCTCTTCTCCAAGAACACAAGAAAGATCCATGGACCTTGCAACTCTGGTCATCCTTGGAACACTCATTCCGAAGAGTACAAAGTACAACAGATTTTAAAGACACTGTTACTCCATGCATTTGTTTCATTTTATTAGTCATTTATGTTTGTATTAAACTATAATTCTTTTTCCTTGAATGGGCTTCAGCCCAGAACAAAGACAGAGGACATTTTTTTTCATGAATATATGATCCTCATCCAAAGTTACAGTTCCTCTGATCCTTCACTTCCTAATGGATATCTGTGATTCAATATACATCATTGGTGTTTTGTGCCTTCACACATCATTTGTCCTTCAGAGAATACTGTTTCTCCTTTACTAATTCAGATTTTTGAACCAATTATAAAAATAAAATCAAAATTCAAGAATCCAGAGACAGGGTTTGGGGTTGTGGCTCAGTAGTAAAGCACTTGCCTAGCACATGTGAGGCACTGGGTTTAATTCTCAGCACCACATTAAAAATTAAAAAAAAAAGATATTGTGTCCATGTACAACTAAAAATATTTTAAAAGAAAAAAGGAATCCAGAGACAAAGAAAAACATCTTTGACTCTTCCTAACATCTATACCAAACATCACCCAGTATCTACTAGGTGTCATCTGTATTGGACCTCAGAAATCCAGACCTGCAGTCATCATCCATGACTCATATGCCACCAGTGGTCATCATTGATCCAACTTTGTCTCTTCTTTTCTCAATAATATCTACCGCTGCTTATTGACCAATTCATCTTCTCACTGAAAGTATTTATGTGACTATGAGTCACAAATCTCTGAGAACAAGATCCTTAGGAACAGGGCATTGCCCACTGTAAGATCTTTCTCCAAAGTGCATGCCTCTCTCCTTAACCAATGTTATCTGTATAAATGATGATTAATCAATATAATATTTCATGTTCATGCCATATTTGTCATCCAGCCACATTTGCTATGTTCAGATTGTATGTAATCCATTTATCATATCACCAATATACTTGAAATACCACCCGCTCCAGGACAAGCAATTTGACTCAACTTACATTGATTCTTATGTGGTGAACAACATGGCAGTGACCACAAACCYCATGACTACAGAAGAATTCAGTCACCATCTTGGGAACACCATCTTGGGAACATCTTTTTCCTATAACAGAGAATCACTTTAAACAAACTAATCCAAAAAGGAAAGTTGCACTACTATTCAAAAGAGTCTTCATGCTAACAGAGGGAGGCAGGTTGGGAGCACAAGACTGAAATCAGGCTGGAGACTCAGAATAATGCAAATTATAAAACTGGATGATCTATCTTTATTAATCTGTTTATTGCCCTTTCCGTTTGGGTATTTATGAATCTATGATAATATCTACATATTCCCTCTATGTTAAAATTAATGCTGTCAAACTTGAGCTGACCCAGAAAAATGACATGGACTATTCCTTCTAGTCACTACCTTAAAGATATTTAAGGAGGCATCCTTAAATATCAGTCCCAGACTTCTTGCCTAAACACATGGATTCAGAGTTGAACAATGCTTCCATCCTCTATAGTTTATTTATAGATTTGCTTATTGGTTGTGAAATGAATCAACTTACGATGATAAAAATCACAACTCTCTAACTCAGAACCTCATGACAGGGGCCTGTGTTCAGATGGGAGAACGTTGACAGTTCCTGGGGTCAGCCTCTGCACTCCACGTCACACTGGCGCATATCCAAGCCTCCATCACCAGAGACTGATGAACCAGCTGTCAGGCGTTTAGGCTGCGGAACAGAAAACCGATGTCAGAAGGAAGGAAACTCTGTGGTTGTTTTCCGTGTTGTGGATGTCATGTATGACTAAACTAATTAAAGTCCTTGAGATGTGACAAGAGTTTTGTCACTGGTGGTTTACGATTCACTTAGGACCTTCTCAGATTTACTTTTTAATTGTATGATGAAAATGATTAACTGATCAGCAAACACAAGGAAAAGAGCTACATCTACTATGAGCTGCTGTTTCTATGCCCCATCCCATGTAGATCACCATGTATGTCTACGTTAAAAATAGAATATTCTCAAATATAATTAATCTAAATGACTGTTTGACAGCCTCACCAATGGGCCTTGATTACCCCTGTGGATGTACGCATAAGTTGATGAACCTATGTATTTATCCTATATGGACTTCCTCGTGGATTAATTTGATCATGCATTCACACTGCTTAAAAAAAAAATCAATGGGGTAAACAAACCAGCAATGCAGAAGTAAAATAAATGAGTGCTTCTCCCAGCATGGGTGATGTCCAAGGCACAGGCAGCCTGTGTCTCCTATATTGGGTAGAGGTTGCACCAAACAGGATGAACCATCATCCTTGTTACATAACCCAGACTTCCTGTGCCATTTGGTCGTTTTTGTTTATTTTCACTTATATTTATTCAACGTTTTTTCTTTTCCTTTTTTTTTTGTATTAAAATGAACAACTACCAAATTACCCTATTAGGATAATAAGAACAATGCCTATTACTAGGATATGTTTATATGTTTCTAAGCCAGAGGGATCGTCTTGGGAATGGAAAATACTGATTTGGCACTGACCAAATTTGGACTACCCAAAACCCTTGGTTCAAAGCCAACAAAAACCCAGCATGCTCCTTGTTTAGTATTCTTCGTCATCTTTCATTCATACATTTGCTCCCGGCTCAAGAATCCACTAAAATATAATCAATACTTATGGTTCACAAAACACAAGAATAAGAAACTGAAGTTTCTTACAGGGCTGGGGCTATGCTCAGGGTTAGAGTACTTGCCTAGCATGTGCAAAGCCCTGGGTACAATCTTTAGTAACACAAAAGAAAGAAAAAAAATGTTCCAGAGGTGTGCTTAATAATACCTGTCCAAAGTCCATTTCTCACAGAGAAAGTAGATAGTTCTCTTTGGGTGACAGACTTAGTTTCGTAGACTAGTGATTAAGAGCAAGCACCCTTGCTTTATGTTAACCCCATACTCTTTTACAGGTCAGGGTTGGATCAACTTTTAGCTACTTCACCCATTTTTAAGGGGATGACAAAAACGAGCATGAAGCCATCCTTTTACTCCACACATACAGTGCTGACAATAGCTTACATCTTGGGATGTGACTAAACTATGTCTTCATAAGAGAGGGAGGATAAATCAACTGACACTCGGAAATAAAACAGAATAATGAATGTTACATTAATTAATTCACGAATAAATTGAGTATGAAAATAGAATGGTCTTGCTTCTTTCTCTTTAATGGACTAAAGATATGATGAATTAGTCCACGTCTGACCTTCATTCATTTCACTTGTATATGTAGCCACTTATTCCCTCTCAATGACAGAATTAACGTCCATGATAGACCATAAAACCAGAATCAATTAATCTGTTACTTACATAGATTTCTAACCTCATTACTCAAAAGGATAACAACCAAAACCTTCCTCGCTAGAGAAAGATCGTATCTCTGTGCATCCATTCTGCAGAATAAACAGAAAAAAAAGCAGATTAGATAGATAGAGGGAATTTTTTTTTCTATTTCAATTCAAGCCAATATTTGATCAGCATAAAACTCAGTGCTTGTCATACATTTAAACATCCCTGTGGACTTACCGATTGGGCGAATATTAAATATACTATAATGAGCACCAGACAAACGAATAAGAACCCTGACTATCACACATGTCTATTTGCATGCCTCTACCCATGGAGGGAAGTGCTGAATCTTCTGAATGAACCCTGGTACAGGATGTGAATGGAAGCACACTCAGCTATATCCACATGCACATGAACACACAGGCCCTCTCTAGGTACATGTAGTGTCATTTAGCTATTCCATATTTAAGGACATTGTATCAATAAGCCAAAAAAGGGAAATTCTACTTAAATTCATAAATATAGCCATCATTCCAAAAATGCAAGGTCCTAAGTCTATTTTAACTATCTGGAGCACGTGGGGAACTACACTGATCCATCTCCCTGTTTCAGAACCTGGGTCCTCCTTGGTCCATGATTTGCTTCCTTTTAAATGATTAACTGCGGCATTAACTTACTGTTTTTCAAGTTCATAATGAGACCATTATATATCTGTGACTCCACAGGAACTGCACAATATTAATGCCTGTCTAGATGCTCATTAGACACGAAAAAAAGATCCAATCATTTATTATTATTTTTTTAATTAAACCCAAGAACTGACGTTAAGCACAGTGCAGATCACTGTATTAATCAGAACTGGCCAGGTGACAGGCTCTCAACATAGATCCCGACCTATGCCCTCTTTCAATTAATCAATAATGAAATTAAGTAAATATTTTGCCTTTTTTTTAAATAAAACATAATTAGAACAAAACAGTGTCTAGCATCCACCTATCTCAGTGCTCCTTCACCAAGAGGGGTGGCTCTGATCACCTATGTCCCTGGAACTGGCCTCCAAAAATGTGTCAGCAGGGACTCTCGTTGCCTTATCAACCCCCAGGCTTGAATGAGAGTCATCCATTCTCTCTCATTTATAGGTTTCTTGGTTTATTTATGCCCTGCTCTACTGAAAATAAGATATTCCACACTCAGAAGCCCCCAAAACACTATCCCTATTATTTTTAACTCCTAGAACCAGCTCATTTCTTATAGAGATAACAAATCTCAATCTTATTACAATGGACCTCCCAGGGATAGGGTTTAGTCAAAAATCCTTGATGCAGACACCCAGGGTACTGCTCATCATTGATTCAGGATAGCAATCTTGTTCTTAATTTCTATCTTTATTTACAGATCCAGGCACGGCTTCACTTGAGTAAAAAACATCAATCATCACGAATGTTTTGAAAAAGCCAAGAACAATAATCTGGATTACTACCAGGATCTGGTTACAGGTTGTTTCCCTTCAGATGCGGCCTCCTCCCTCCACAGAACCTCTTGAGGGAGTGGCCCTGGGTGGAGCAAGCGTCCTGCTCCTGGCCAACCTGTTCTGTCTGTCTCTCACCTTCCCCTGTGCTCTTCCTCAGGGAGTTTGTATGATGACGGACACGTGCTACCAACTGCCCCACAACCCCAGGCAGCGACCAAGAGGACTACAGCAACTGAACACAAGAATTCCTGTAATCCCCATCATTTAAAATACAGACAGCCACGGACGGATGGGGCAACCCTATTGGACATGGCGACCCTAGATTTTGTGACTGGATGAATTTTGAATTAAATGTAGAGCAGAAATTAGATGAATGATTAGCTCTGAAAATGAGTGGAATATCTTCTATGCTTTAACTACAACTGTGCTTAATTGGATCAATCTGAGTTTCATAACACATGTCCTTTTTCCATATATGGCTTAATTCAAGCAATTCAATAAGCAGCTAATGAAAATATCAAGCAAATTGACAAAACTTGAGCTTTTACTTACTTCAGTCATTAGGTTTCTTACTCACAAAGGCAACAGCTAAGATCTTCGACAGCAGAGACTAAATAAATCAGCTGTGGTCTTCACTCTGTGGCATCAAATACAGATGTTTAAAAGAATAAAGAGTACAGGGTTAGATATTTTAAAAGACATTGACTGCACAGTAGGCTAATCACATTCTAGATTTGAGTTCAGTTTCCACCATTGAAGGACTTCTATTTATTTACTTTATAGAAAAAGAACTTTTCATTTATTTTATTTACTGGCCTATTAATTTCAAATAATAGAATGAACATTATTACATTATTAAATTCATTATTAAATTATTAAATTCATCAATCAAAAGTAAGAACTAACACTTCTGCACACACATGTCTACTGCCCCCAGCCCACAGATGATCTCTTTTTTTAAGTAGTCTTTTAAATAAATAGGTGAATTTAAATTCATGATTCATTGTCAGTCCTCACCAATAATCTGCATTTGACCCTACAATGTTATCATTCACTGTTTTATTTGTTTGCTGCTAGAATGTTCACTCATCTATTCCCATGCACACAACAGGCACACATACACAAAGGGGTCAACTCAGGACCAACCCAGAACAGAGCTGACTTTCATGGTCAAGGACCTACACTCCCACACCTGAACGAGAAAGAGTATCATTTTCACTTCTTCCTCGGCCATGTTTTGCACACTTTTAAAAACTTGGCTATGAGCCAGGTGCGGGGGCTCGCACCTAAAACCCAGCTACTCTAGAAGCTGAGAAAGGAGGATCACAACTTCAAGATCAGCCTGGGCAACTTACAATGTGTACAATTAGCACATGAAAATAGGAATTTGAAAAAAACAGATGTTTTGCTTATTTATAATATAATTCATAGTTGGAATAATAATAATTCTTTTCATTGGTATATCCTTAAGGTGAATAATGCTCATTCATTTCGCCAATTACATTACTATTTCATCTACTATTTATGTAATTTTCCTTTTGCTAATCAAAAATAATTAGCAAACAAACCCTTTACATCAAAATATTATATAAAGTCTTACATACACCTGTCACATACTTCTTTCCAAAAAAGTAACCATCTTTATTCATATGTAGCATTGGAGTTCAGTACTCCAGAAACATGCAATAATAATGCACAGTGCATCACAAAACTGAACCACGCTGGGCTCTCTTTAGATTTACCTATCTCTACATTCCTTTATTTATTCATGCACTGAATTACTTATAAACCCAGTCTATTTCCATAAAATGTGTACTCTGCCAATCAAGATATCGAGAAAAATGGGAAGCTACTGTATAAATCGGACCTCAGAGTTCCAGATGGCTTTAATCAAAATTTTGATTCAGACACCCTCCAATCTCATCACTGGTCCAGACTCGGCACTCTCCTTCTTCATTCCCTTATGCCTTTACTTCCCCATGAGCCACAGGCTCAAAAAAAAGACCCTTGATATGACTATGATATGTCCCTATACTCCACCCCACAAGGCGTACAGATAGGAGCTCAGTGCCATTCTCATGACCTATTCAGTGAATCTGGCCCATGACGGCCACATTCATTGAATGTGGGTTTTTTTTTTCCTTAAAGAGGGTATAATGAACAATCAAAATCCTCAACAACTAGGACACAAGTGATGTGCACCTCCACCACTGTGGAAGTTCCTGAATCAACCACAGTGCGGGAACAATGCAGAATGTCAAACAGCTCTGGAAATTAAATTCCATCCACTTTATTTCTTAAGTTTCTTTTTTTAAGTTGAGCTGTCCCTTCACACATCTCTCTCTACGACAGGTCCATACTTCCTACGGTTAATTTTTGTGCATGATCTTTGGTCCTATACTTCAGTGGCCACATATGAACAAAGAATGGAGACTGCGATTGTTACTAACATGGCTCCTTACCCATGGAAGCAACTGTCAAGGACTTCATCATGGAGAATGACCAAATCCAAGGTGCTGTGCTCACTCAGGAGGAAAAGACAGAGTTCCAAGAAAATGAAAAGTATAAAATTTTAATATTTTTAAATAAAGGTCAGCTCTGCATTATTTGATTAATCACAATCATTGGCTTATATCACACAATTATCATCAATCCAACAGTGATATTATCTTCATCTACTGAAATACTTTAGTATGAATAGATACCACATAAATTTTTGACTCTATCACCCCCCCAAAAAAGATGATTAATATATATCTAGGTAATCTTACCTTACACCAAAAAAAGACCAGATACTGGGGTGGGAGGGAAGCTGGAAATTGAATTCTGGGGTGCTTTACCACTGCGCTACGTCCCTAGACCTTTATTTTGGAGACAGAATCTTCCTAAGTTACTGCAGGTCTTGTAAAATTGCTGAGACTGGCCTCCCTTTTGCAATCCTCCTGCCTCAACTTCCTGAGTTGCTGGGATAACTGGTGAAGAAAAATTTTGCAAAATAGAATGAATTTAAATTCATGTTTCATGACACAATCTGGTCAATGGGCCACACTGTAATTTAATTCCTCTATTTACTGGTTTATTAATTTACCAATAATGAATCATAACATTTATTACCTAAAACTGAGCACCACTTGTCTCTACTGTCCTTCTCTCCCCTATACTCTCTGCAGGGATCACAGAAGTTCTCTCAGTACCATTTAATACGGAACCATTATCCACACATGACTTGGAAAGTGGCTGGTGTGACTGAGGAACCGAATCTTTATTTTTAAGTAATTTGAATTTGCATGCGAATGGCAAGTTGCACCTGAAGAGTAAGGTCTATACATCAAGGTGGAGGGGCCTCAGCCTTGTGCACCTGAATTTCAAGAGGGTCCACAGAATAAAAGATGCCAATTCACAAACCATATATGTCTTTTACTGGTCCTTCTTTTAAATAGTGAATTGTGATGTTGTTCTTTTACTCATTTGTAAAAATAACAACAATATTTATAAGCCCTGAGAGCAATGGGCAAGCGTCTATTTATACACTCACTTATTACCAAAAATCATACAAAAATGCACTTATAATTTTCTTCTAAATAAAAATCATTGAATAAGAGGATTTGTAATAATTATGTTCATACTCAAATTTTTCTTGCTTAGGCTTTTTCCACATTTCAATAACTATCTCGTCATAGTATTTCAGTTTTTAATTATATCAAGTTATTTAATTATATCCAGTTGTTACTACATTAATGAATTCAGCACAACTATTAGTTGTATTGTTATTATGGAATATACATACCAATTTTATTAGATAATTGATATGCATATTCCATAATAACAATACAATGTATTTGACATAATAATAAATATTATATTGTTATTATGACATAATAATAAACATGACATAATAAATATGATTATGACATAATAAATGTTATTATGTCAAATATATAATTTAATTATATAAAGTGTATGCCACTTCTAAAATAAGAAATGCAATGAGCAACTCACCACTAGCCCAAAACAAAAACATGGAGAGACACTCTGTCAACACCCGCTTTACTGAAACTCAAAATTTCAGAAATGAACAATCCTTAATTTGTTCCCCTCATATTATATGAGTTATGGCCCTCCTTGTCTTTATTCAGGCATTGATTTAGTTAAAATAGTGCAGTATAAACCTATGAAAAACAAAAGAGCAAAACTGCATTCCCTCTGCCAGGTGCAGTGGGACGTGCCTATAATCCCAGCAACTCAGAAGGCTGAGGCAGGAGGATGTGAAGTCGGAGGCCTCAGCAACTTAGGGAGACCCTGCCTCAAAATAAAACATTTTTTAAAGAAAGGGCTGTGAGTGTAACTCAGTGGTAAAGTGCCCCGGGTTCAATCCCCAGTGTCAAAACAAAAACAAAAACATGTTCCCTCGGATATTTCTAATGTCTATAAGCACATTTCTTTTAAATAGTGAATTGTGATGTTGCAGACAGAGCAGACCTCAGAGTTACAGACTGGGTTTAATCAAAATATTTGATTCAGATGCCCCACGCACACTCATCATTGATCCAGACTTGGTATTCTATGCTTTTATTCAATGTTAAAATTCCTGACTTATTCACTGATTCCCCAATAATATGATCAACAGCCATGAATTAAGGGCTCGGAAGATACAAATATGGCTGTCAAAGTTCACACCCCCATAGAGCTGGGGACCTAAATCTCTGCAATTTCCAGACATGCGGATATGAACTAATCCACCTCCCAGCACCACATCAATTTGCTATTAGTCACTGGTCCATGGTTGGGCCACCTTCATTTAAAGTGCATCCATATTTTCAAGATGACGCAATGAACTGCCATCTTATACCACAGCTAATGAAAAGGTCAGAGTCTCCATTTCCTCTAAGAGTCTACAGCAATATCACTGGAGAAGTGTTAAATCCACTGGGGTATAAAAGCGAAATTACATATTAAAAAATTCTTAACATGACAGAAATGCCTTTCATCTTTTTGTTCTAAGAAATTCAATTGTTCTGAATTGGATTAAACATAATTCTTAATGTATAATGATTTCCACCACTGGTCAAGACATGACCACTTTTGAACTGATCCCTTTGAAATAATTCTGTGAATACATGATTAAGCCCTACCATCAGCAAGAACATGAACTTCGATCTTTACTTACGTTGACATCTTCTCTTCTTATCCAAAGAGAGGAAAGGCCAGGTCTTCACAGGAAGCAGTGAATGAATAGGTGACCGGGTTCACCTGGAGGATAAAAAGCAAGTATTCAAATGGATTGAATAGTTGGATTAAATTGTTTTAAATGGACCATACTTGTGCAGTCATCAATTAACCATAAACCTTGGTTTGTGTTCTATACTAAACATTTTGGAAGAGAGCAGTACTTTATATTTATTAACTTCTGTGATTTAGAAGAGAGGACAATACTTTATTAACTAATATAATGTATTTTGGTATAAATAATATAATGAACACCATTGAATCCAGCATTGAAAACAATAAAAATAACTATTAGGATTGCCAATCCATTATTGCTACCCACATGGGCAAGAACAAGATCCTCATTTTGTTGAATTTTGTGCAAAACTGGATCCACTGGAGATTCAATTCATGACATAATCTTGCCAATAGTCCAAGGTGAATTCCTTTAATATACTTATTAATTCACTAATATCTCTATTTACTCATGTGATAATTTGTCTAAGAGAGCTTTGAAGTTTAAACAACCATCAAAATAGAACTGAAACACTAATATAGCAAATTCTATATGCACCACTGCAAAGGTCTAGAAATCTTTGCCTTGAATATGAATACATGCTTGAATAATAAGATGATCAGGATTTTTATACACAACTGCATGTTTTCCATCGGCACTTTGATTAGTAACATTTTCAAAAATTAAGACACAAATTTATGAAATAGCATTATAATTCATTATATGTGAGCCCACCTACACCAGATAAGTACCCTGAATAATATTTACATTTTTTGTGTGTGTAATTACCCCAAAGAGTAGCAAATTGGTTCAATTTGTTTGCTTAAGTAAAACTGCACAGAAAATTTGCATTAATTGTACATGCAGTTGAATAAAAGTCTCATCATTGCTCCATGCTCTCTCACTCAAACATTCAATCAACGATTCATTTATGTAAATGCATTCCTTCTTTCTTAATAAAATGATCAATGGGCACAGAACAAAATCACGCCTCTTTATGCTCAGATGACTATATGGTCGGAGAGGGCAAACAGCCTCAACTATTAATTAATTGGGACTAAGAATCTCAAAATGGTTTTAATAATGGCCCATGTTTCATTATATGTCTTAAAAAATAATTACATACATATATTTCTTATTCCTCACTCATTGACATTCATTCATGGCTAGTTTGGTTATGATAATGTCATTCAAACGCCCAAACCAAAAGAACAAGACTACACAGATGCTTCTTCCTCCCAGGGGATAAATACCAGTACCGCTTGGCAATGGACCTCAGAGTTGCAGATGGGTTTAATCACTGTCCTCGTGTCAGAAACCCCATGCCATTCATCACAGGTCCATCTCTGGTTAATTCACCTACTCACAAATAACAACACAGTCACAAAATCCCCAAGAAAAGATCTTATGAGTTTTTAGGCTCTTATTCCTTTAAACTGTGACTAAAGTTCTTCAACAGCACTCAAAGGTTTTATTTTATTTAATCTGTCCATATGCAAAGATGGCTCAGTGAAAACTAATGACCCACTGTCCTCCATCACCTGAGACACTCACAGATCATCCATGTTCTTGTGGACGGTCCCAAAGGCAGTACCAGCCCGGATCTCCACACATGTGGGAATGCTGAAATCAATTATAGTACAGAATGAAGAATAATATTAAACTGTTGTGAGAATAATTTAAATAATTTCTGTCTTTTTAAAAATAACTTCAGTTGTATTAATGTGGAATGTGTTCCTAACACATTCCATTACTGCTCCATATTTGGAGAGTTTTACTTATTTTATGTATGAAGACATTTATTACTTTGAAATTCCTTAGCTAATAACCATGAAAAAAATGAGCCAAGCAGAGATTATGAACCAAGGGGCTTACCTTTATCAGCATCTCTGCTCCTCATTCAGGACAATAATTCTTGATTAAATGATTAAATCAGCTGCCTGGTGTTCACTCTGGGGAGGAAAAAGATTTAGAATAGATTTAGATTTATTTTTAATGGATTATTCAAGCAGAACTAGGTAGCAATAAACTTTGACTCAAAATGCAATTTTTCATTAGTCAGTATTGAACTTTTAATTTTAAATAATGTGATAAATACTATTGAGTACACCACCCATCCCCCCAGAAAGATCTATAACAATTACAAATACCTGCCTAGATAAACATCTAGTAAGTAGATGGGTATTCAGAGGATTACTGGTTGATACAAACACTTTCCCTTTTCTTAATTAAAAAAAAAAAGAAGCAAATTTAAAAAAAAGTCTTGTAACTATCAGTATTATGCTCCACGTTAAAATAAAGCATTATAGACTCCGTCTGTTCATTTTACTTCAGATTAATAATTGCCCTTCTTTATGGCAAGTAATAATGCTAATAATATTTGTTTTATTGTCCTCTACTAATTGCTCCGTGAATAGCTCTGTTAATCTTTCATGTATATTTCTCAACTCATGAAGGTATTGATTTGCTTGGTATAATACATTCCATATCTTGAAACCACAAAATCCCAGGGCCAAGTTTATTGAATTTTCCTAACTTCTGCTCTTAGGTCATTTCTACAGAACCTATTAGCTGCTGCTTATTCTGTAACAAACCCGAGTTAACACAGAGGGCTTCATCAGAAGGTTGGTGTGGACACCTCAACCAATGGTCACCATTGATCCATTGGCGTTCCATCTCTTCAAGCATGTATCCCTCCTTGAACCAGTTCAATCATTCTCTGATTCATGAATAATAATTATACATTCAGAACCCCATAATGACAAGACCAAGAACAAATGGGTTTAATGAAACCAAAATCTGTTCACTGTTCCCCTTCACTGAGAGCAAAGAGATAAGACATCTTATCTCAGTGAGCCCCTGGTCCAACATACAGACCAATCAGCACAACATGCTTCATGTCAATCCTAACTTCTGATTGGCTGGTGAAACCAGCAGCCACGGACCTAAGAACAAAGTACATGCTCTTCAAAACTACCTTTCAAAGCACTCCTGCCACAAGGCGTTAGCAACGTTTGTAAATAAGGGACTACACTAGGTCACCCTTGGAAGAGACATAAAGTAGAAAGTTAAATATGTGAAATGCCCTCCATCTCTTCAGTCTTGGTCCTCAGTGGGGCTGAGTTAAATTACTTGTAATTTTTGGTTCATGACACATTCCAATCAACAATTGTTTTATTGAAAAAATTTAGGGGGTTCCCTTGAAGGAGGAAGGCCATCTGTGCCCAGAACAACCGCTCTGAGGGTTCCTCACTTTGGGTCTTTATGCTCCTTGTTGAGAAGTAACAATGATGGTTACTCTGATTATAGAGCAATAACATCTCCACTGTGGTTTGCGTTCTACAGTGGGGAAAGAAAGCCTACTTTTAAAAATGTCCTCATGCTTTAATGAACCAGATTAAAACTCCATGTACATCTTTGTAAAAAATACAAGAGCCCCGGTTTAATGTCATGGGAAAAAAAAAAAAAAACAGGGATYGGAATCCTCATGACATTTGTTCCTAATTGGTCCAGTTTGCTGACTTAAAAAAAATAATAAAGTCATAAAATCATGTATATTCATAAGAATGGGATCCTAACTATAATAAGATAGATCCCATGCTTGTATAGTCACATCAAAATAAATTCTGCTGTCATGTATAACTGAAAATTAAGAAAAAATCATGCCTTGCTTTTCAAATATCAAGACACTATAATCTGTAATGTCACAGCACCGGGCCATGACACAAAATAGTATTTACATGTCCACAGTCATGGAACTCGGGATAACAGATCCATTTGGTTTTATGTTGTTTTAATAAAAATTAGTAAAAGTGAAAAGATGAATGGTTGGATCATTGACCCTGTTTGCCTGACAATTATGTGGTTATTTAACCAACGATTTATATGAAGATGCACTTTGTTTCCTTAACAAAACAATCAATCAGTAACCATCACCACAACAGATCACAAGCTTCTGTATACAAATGACCACCTGTACCTTCACCAAAAATGGCAAGAGCCTTGACTATGAATCTTTTGGGAGACCCAGACAAGTTTTAATAATCCATGTGGCATGTCATTCCTTCATAATAATTGCATAATTCGCCTTCTTTTTTTCAGACTTTTTAAAATTAATAGGCTGACTTTATAATTTAAACAAAAAGTAAAATCTGGGCTGAGGGTTAGGGTTAGGGTTAGTGGTGGAGCAGTTGCTGGGCTTGATCTAACTAGCACTGTACTAAAAAAAGGGTGGGGGGAATATATCCCCCCAAACCAAGGAAACATTACCTTACCTTAACTCATGTCCAAAGGAGGAATCATTATCTCTCTCTCTGTGGACCTCAGAGATACATATGGGTTTAATCAAAATATCCTGTTTCAGATACCCCATGGAACTCATCACGGGTCCAAGCACATTTTCTTCCTTTGTTTATTGATTAATTAATTAATTAACAATACAATCACCATGTTTTAGGAACAGGACCTCCAGGGGAGCCACCCTCTCCTCATAGACAAGAGCCCTTTAACACTGGACCTCAGGGAACATGTGTGACCTACTGGTGTCTGTGCTGCACACCAAGATCTGCATGGGGCCACGGGTCCTCCGTGACCTTCTTGGACTCAGTTTGCTCATCTCCCCGGCTGCCATGGGCAGACGCCTCAGTCGGGACCACACAGACAGGGAAAGGTTCCAATCATGTGTGGTGGAAAGTAAGCTACAAACAGCTCTGAAAATAACTGAAACAACTACTACTTTTAAAAGTCGCCTCCAAAAATTAAAAATGAAAATAAAGTCATCTTCATTGCATCAAATTAGATTAAACTGTTTTTTGGTTCGTGACATATTCCCATCACCGGTCCGTTCTTGGTGATGTTTCTTTCTCTTGTGCACATGGGTACCTTTTTTTACACAGCAAAAAAAGCAGCACAGGCAAGGACAGGAGAGGGTGAGGTCTCACTTACATTGTTCTCTATGTTCGTTACCCACAGAGCCAACCACCCAGGCTTTGTTTCTCGGGAATAAGCCACTCTTCTCTGGTCCCTGTGGGAAAAACATAGACTTAGCCTGACTTAGATTCTGCAAGGTGTTATGTGGAACTACATAGTAGTGAACACTGGTCCTTTATAATTAATTCAGTATTTTATTTTTGCTTTGAAATAATGTTATCACCACTGTTGCATCTGTCACCCAAAAATAAGATCTACCCCTATGACCAACGCCTGTTGTGTAAATACCCAACTCACACAGGTAAGCACTGCCTCGTGGGGTAAATATTCACCTACTTCTTTCTTTCTTTTTTCGGTACTGGGAATTGAACTCAGGGACACTCAACCACTGATTGACAYCCCCAGCCCTATTTTGTATTTTATCTAGAGACAGGTTCTGAGTTGCTTAGTGCCTCGCCATTGCTTTGAACTTGTGATCCTTCTGTCTCAGCCTCCCAAGCTGCTGGGATTACAGGTGTGTGCCACCTGTAATTAGATGAGTCAATAAATTAAGATGTTGTAAGACAGAATTATGCATAGGCCACCGAAAGTTGAATGATGATTACTCATGGATGATTCGCTGTTTATGATCTAAAGAATAACCAAAATTGTAACTGAGCCAGTAATTCACAACTGAAAAAAGTCTCTGTGCAATAATCTACATGTACCTTATAAAAAATGGCAGTAAACAAGGTGCCATGATGCACGACCGTAATCCCAGTGACTTGGGAGGCTGAGGCAGGAGGATCTCAATCAAGTTCAAAGCCAGTCTTAGTTGAGGCACTAAGTAACTCAGTGAGACCCTGTCTCTAAGTAAAATACAATAAAAGGGCTGGGGATGTCGCTCAGTGGTCTAGTGCCCCTGAGTTCAATCCCTGGTATTAAAAAAATAAAAATAAAAAGTCCTCTGTAAAAGTGGCCAAAAGGGTGGTTGCTTGTGGTAGAGTGCCTGCCTCACATATGCGAGACCCTGAGTTCGTTCCTCAGAACCACATAAAAATAAGTAAGTGAAATATAGGTAATGTACAACTAAAAAAATAAACATTTTGTTTTTTAAAAATGGCAATAGCGGGCTGGGGATGTGACTCATCGGTAGCGCACTCGCCTGGCATGCACCGGGCACTGGGTTCGATCCTCAGCACCATATACAAATAAAATAAAGATGTTGTGTCCACCGAAAACTAATGTATATATATATATATAATTTCTCTCTCTCTCTCTCTCTCTCTCAAAAAAATTTAAAAAAAAAAAAAGATGGCAGTAGGGCTTGGGTTGTGGCTCAGCGGAAGAGTACTTGCTTAACACAAGTGAGGCTCTGGGTTCGATCCCCAGCACCGCATAAAAATAAATACATAAGATAAAGGTATGTGTCCATCTACATCTAAAAAATTTTTTTAAGAAAATGGCAGCAGGCTAAGTATTTTCCTATGAATATCAGTGGTGGAACTCAAATAATCATCATCTTCTCATAAAACCTCATTCTCATTGATCTGTGTTTGTCTTATTTTATAAAATTTTATTTATTTGACTATAATAATATATCAATATACAAATGCAAGCACACTAAAAATGAAAATACTAACCTCTGTCTATCCCTCTCTTTAGTCAACAAAATGATGGTCAAGATCATTTTGGGGTTGTTAACAAAATTCCGTGTTCTTGGCAGCACTATTCCCAATAGACAAGATATGTAATCCACCTAATGTCCATCAATGGATGAATGGGTTAGGGAAATATGGTCCATGCACCCAGTGGAACACTACTGAGCTTCCAATGTTGTGTGGATAATTGTGAGTCTGTTGTCTATGAAAAAACTTAGAATGAGTTTGTTAACATCCCCAGAAACAATTTTCTGGGATTTTTATTGGGACTGCATTGAATGTACAGATTAAGATGGGGGGAAACTAACATCCTAAAACCAAGAGTTACTAAACAACACCACACACAAAAAAAATCCAGATCAAAATATCAATACTGCTAAG